AGAGAGAGAGAGAGAGAGAGAGAGAGAGAGAGAGAGAGAGAGAGAGAGAGAGAGAGAGAGAGAGACGCACAAATCTGGACGTGCTGTAGGCTAATAGCCTATTAAGCCTAATAGTAACTCCCCTCAAACACGTCCAGATTCAGGCACAAAAGGAACTACCCTCAAAGAAAAAGGAAAAATGGAAAAGAAAAAGCCCGGCACCGGTACTGGCCTGCGTCCTGGGCTGAGTGCCTGAGCCCTCAGCCTTGCACTCAGAGGCCGACGGGTCCTTGACTCCTTGACCCCTTGGTCCAACAACATGTACTACAGGACCGGTGCATCTGCATAGAAAAGTTTCGAAAATGGCGGGGCTGCTACCAGACCTGTTTATTTGTCACAATACATGGCCCGGCCGGCGACCGGTGTAATTGCTACGAAACATCTACACCTGTTCTTCAAACCGGTATATCTGGCAGTGCAATTTTCCCTTTTCCCTACTTCTCTGAAATCTGAAAAGTTGTGGCTTTTTTGAAACTTTAAAGTCTTTAAGTTGAAAAGTTGTGGCCCCCAACTTTCCCGTGAAAACCTTTCCCGCACTTCTGACACAAGTCATTATAATTGGGGATGGACTCATGGACCTCCCAAGCTGTTCTCAGTTCAGTGCTCGTTCCAAAGGTGTTAAACAAAGAGCATCATGATGACATTTCATATGGAGTTCATAATGTTATGAACTTATGACCCCACACCATTTTCAGAGACATAGAATCATAATTTTAGTTCTTACTGGTTTTACGCAAAATTTAATTCAACGTCATCCTCCCGGCTGCGCCACCGTATGAAATTGATGGTGGATTTGGTCTTCACATTAGTCTAAGTGCACACTCACACTTGGACTTCCCCAGATCCTGAAGTGTATGACCAGCCACCTTATCAAGTTGTCAGGTTGGTGGTTGTTTTCGCATACGAGAGTATAACTTATGCTACGATAGTGCTGTGTCAGCCTGTACGTACATTTGTATCTGGCTGCAGTTACTGGCGGTCGTGGATGGTATCTGACCACAATTACGTCCAGAGAGCAGTGGAAAAAGTCCTGCTGGATGAATATGAGTATAATGGCCCTGTGGTGCGCCAGTGTGCCGGCCTGATCACCTTACCAGCCACGTGCCAAAGCACGTGATAGCAATGCGGCCCCGAATTTATTTAATATGCTCCATGCTAGAGCATACTGACAAGAGGACTTTCTTGAATGAATTTGACTACCATCTTCGATCATTATAGCTGCATTTGGGACAATTTCAGTCTTTGATACAGCGATGATGACGGTGCCGTTCTATTCGAGCGAAGGCGGGAGCATAATCATTGCCCATGTTATACGTTCATGCAAGGACAAATTTCAAATACACACAAAATTTAATCCCCTCCAAAATTCCAAATGACTTTCCACAGCTGCATCCTATCTTTACCTTCAAGTTGGCAGTTTGTGTCAGAGTGTCACGTGTAATCTAAGATGAGATCTTTGTGGGTTGGCAGTTCTACTATCAGCCTGCCTACCAAGAGTCCCAACTGACACGAATCATTTGCATTTCACTCAGCGAGATTCTGGGAATGATGATTTGCGAGCTCATCACCGATTCACCAAGACACCCTTGGATGGAAACAAAGGTCTTATCAACTGACAGTGTGGTCTCAGGTTGGCGAGAGTGGAATTTGAGGAATTTACATGAGGGCCGTCGCAATCCAAAGATCTTGCCCATCTGCCTAGCGGCCGTAGCCCCTTAACCAGATCCTCAAGTTCGTGCATCGTTCTTTCTGAAAGGGAGGTGGCCGCAAACATTGTTGTAAGCATCTGATGCCAGTTGGACTCATACTCACAATCCGTCTGTCAGAATCTACAACGGGCGTAGCACTGCATACCGTTCAGCCCCGCGGGCTGCGTGTTCCTTCATGGTTTGCCCCGGGATCTCATCTCTTCAGAAAGTGAGGGGCAGAGTCTGTAGAACCCATGACAGTCAGAAGGCGGAGGTCGAAAGTAGCTTCTCCAATGTTATGTGCCTGCAAGGCTGCTATTAGATTCGGGGACTTGATCCTTCACAG